ACTCCCGCTGGCTCCGATCTGGATAGTGCAGAGGATGCTGACGAGCGAGTTTCCGGAGAGGGCGGGCTGGAGAAGTCGGGTGAGCTTGCTGTCTCGGTACGGCAAGTGCTTGTCGCCCTTTCCTTTGTCCTTTTCCGACTTGTCCTTGTCCGAAGCCAAGCGGCCAATGACTGTGCCCAAGGTGAGCAGGCTCTTGTTGATGTGGGAGCCCTCTGTCCGCCGCTCCTTGTTGTCCGCCGCCTTTTCAGAGCCAGCCAGATCGATCAGACTGAGCGTCGAAACACGGACGCCGCCCGGGACAATGGCTGAGCGCTTGTCGCCGTTCATTGCAGGGCCAGGAGCGCGTTCCCTGCTCTCGACGACGATCTGGACGACAGCGTGACTCCGGGAACTGCGCGCGTTGAACTGCGTACCCGCCACCTTTCGCGAATTGTCACCCCGGGCGATGACCCTCAGGAGCTGAGTCGGGCTCTGCACAATCTCTTCCTTGAGCGGCGACGCATAGACGCCACGCTTGCTGTCCTCACGCAGCTTGATCTCTTCCACGGGCCCGGTCTGGCCGTTGATGCCCACGACGGGCCCCGCCAGCAGATCGATAATCTTCTCATTGTAGATCTCGATGTAGCTGACCCTCAGGAGGAACTCCCGCTGGGGCGTCTCCCGGATGTAGGAGAATATGTCGGTGATGGCCAGGGGTATGACGCCGGGGTTCGTCGCAGTTCCTTGCATGGAGAAGGTCTTGCCGGTTCCCGTCATGCCATAGGCAAAGACGGTGCCGTGATAGCCCTCCATGACCCTCCGGACGAGTCGCTTGGCTGCAGCATCGTACACGCGCGCGTTGTTGTCTTGGGTATCGAATACGTTGTCTAAGTCAGGCCAAATTAGCTCCGGTGCAGCGAGCCTCGCCGTGTGCAAGCATACCGTAAATGTAGTCTCCGCCCTCCTTGCCCTTGTAGGCGATCAGGGCCTGCTTGTTGTTGACTTGCCACTCGACGTCGTGTTTGGGTTCCTTGGCGCCGGCATCGGGGCGGACGCGGACGCTGACAATGACATTGCCTTTGCCGTCCTTGGGTGCCTTGGCGTCGGCGCGTCCGTCGTCCCCGTCTTCGAATGTGGTTGCGCTGGTGGCGTAGGAGCCCTGCGGCGAAGAGGTGCGGCTCTGGGGCGGCGAGGGGAGGCTGAGATGGGCCGTCTCGACGGTGACGGAGTCGGCGCTGCCGTTGAGCAGGCTCGGGGGCGACAGGGGCGACTTGGGGAGCAGGCCTCGCGCGCCGCCCATGTTGGAGCTCCGCGGCTTCTTCAGACTGTTGCTCCGGGCGGGCGCTGGGCCCTTGGATATCGAGGACAGCCTCCGGTCGACCGTGTCTCCGCCGGGCGTGGAGCTGGTGGATAGCGGACTGGTGGGATTGGAGCGTCCGCCATGCCTGGGCGGCTGGGGAAAGGAGCCGATGCTGACCGTCTTGCGCAGCGACTTGCCCACGGGCAGCGAGCCGGCCGCGCCAGCGTCGGGCGGGAACGAGGGCACCGAGGGAGACGTCAGATGCTTCGACGTCGGGCGGTAGGGCAGCGACGACGACGACACAGCGCGTGTGCTGGCGGCGCCGGGGAGCAGCGAGCTGCGCGTCGTCGGACCGCCGTGGGAGCTCCGCGACTTGGGGACGGGCAGCGAGGGCAAGGGACCGGTGGGCGGAGCGATCGAGGGCCGCGACGGGCGAGGCAGCGAGTTGGCAGACATGGTGATGGGGTGGCGCGTCTGTACGAGTGCTACGGCGGGCGGCAGAGGTGCTGGCGCTGCAGTCGTGGGCCCGACAGGCTTTGTTTTTGCAGGTGGCCTATGCCGCTGTGCACATGTCCGGCGTGGCCCTCCAGCAACGCGACGGGGCCTCGCAAGGTAGGCGGGGACGAGTACGTCGCGGACAAGCAGGGCCCTGGGCGCGGGAAGCAAGCGCAAAGGCAATGCAGCGGAGACGGGTAGTCGCAGTCGAGGCGGGGGGAGGCGCGCTGGCAGGCCTGGGGACGTCGTGGGCGCGTCCAAGGGGGCAGCGAGGCGATGGGATGTGGCAGCACGCAGCGTCTCTCAGCGTCGCTCAGCGTGAGGTCGGCCGGCAGTGTGTTGGCGTGGTGGGGAAAAAGGAGCGGTGATGAGATGGATGGCAGGATCCCCTGGGACTCGGGGCAGGTGCAGGTGCTGGTGCAGGGGCCCGACGAAGGAACGACCGACCGATGAAAGCGCCGTGCCAGTGCAAGCAGAACGGGCGGGCGGCGTGGCTGTTCGCGCCAACGCACCAAAGACGCAGGGCCCTGTGTACCTGGGAAAAGGGGTTCACTAATGTCGGCACCCACAGCAGCTGCCATCTGCAGACCCTGGCCCGGCTACCTCTACATACTCTCTGTGCGCATGCTGTTCTGTCGGCATCTCGCAGCGCCTCTGGGAGCGACGTTTCTGTGACGCTATACAAAGACCTGCTGGCGATCCCTGCTGATCCGCCCGTCTACATACAGAACCATCCGCCGTCTCCGCCTCACTGCACCAACCCCCAGTGTCGCCGCGTCCTCTCCAGCCAGAGACTAACGCGCTGGTGCTGCGGGAGCGCCACACTGCACGTGCTGCCGCGTTGCCAACTGCCGGGTGAGCGTTCGGTAGTCTGAGCGTCTGCAGTACGTGAAACACCCACAACTCGTGCGCTCCTCATCCGCACACGTCCAAACCTGCCTTGGTGGTGCCTCACGCCTCGACGCTTCATATGCCGTGTCTTTAGTGTTTCTAGCGTGTCTGTAGCACTCACAATCTTGCTTTGGCGCCTGCATAGCCGCAACGTGCACCAACACGCCTGAACATCGCCCAGTCATTCCACTCTTGTCCCTGATCATTCCTCCTGTCTCCACGCTTCATTGAGCGCGTTCCTGGTGTTCTGGCACCAATAGCGCACTGGAAATGCTCATTTTGCGCCCATAGTCACCCAAACCGTCCAAACAGCGTGCACCAACATTGGATTCGCCCTAAACGCCTCCAAGTTGTTCCTTACGTCCCTACGCGTCGGTTGCTGTGTTTTGGCCTTTGTACGATCAATAGCGCATGAGATGTGCCCAGATCCGATTCCGCTTGCACCCAAACCGCTCAGCCAGCCGCCACCGTCGTCCCAACTCACTTGGGCTCATTGCAAACTGTTCTCTAGGCCTGTCCGCTTCATTCCCTGTATTGGGGGTCTTCCACTACGAATAGCGCATCGGAGCCATCCATTTTGCTCTTCGGACGCGAGATCGACCCAAATCGCCTCCCCTGGCTCGCCATCTTGTCCGTTTTGCTTTCTGAGTAGCCCAAACGATTCCTCGCATCTTGGAGATTCATTTGGTGTAGTCACAGCGTTCTAGGTGGTCAGAATGCTTCAGCCAGCCCAGATTTCCGTTTTGTGCTCAAAACCGGACTGGACGACCTCCCACGCGCGCAGACTCACTCCAGCATTCCCAAAAGCGACTGTATTCGTTCCCCGTGCTCTGAGGCTTCATCTGCCTGTCTGGGCAGTCTGCTGTGGCTGTATGACGTCCAGATCTGGTCTTGTAAGCTCGAGACAGATCCAAGGGCTTACCACGCAGTCAGTTCACACCCGATTACTCTCAAACTTTCACAAGTCATTCTCTGCACCTACTGGCTTTGTCTGCGTATGGGCCGGGTCTGTGGCGATCTCCGGACGCTTAATCTCGCTGTCGCGGCTCTACAACGAGATTGAAGCACAACTCGCGCAGACGGCCTGTTCTTGCTTGGAGACATCGTCGCCTCATTCTCTATACCTCGTTCAATCGTACGCGTGTTTGGTAGGTCCGCGGCAGTCTTCGGGCGCTTATTATTGCGGCGGCGGCTCTACGGCGAAATTCGAGCACAACTCGCGCGCGTCACGCTACCTTGCTCCTAGACGTTTGCATATGACTCTCCCTACTTCTATCCCTTTTGTGCTTGCTTTTCCAGTTTGTAGTGGCCGTGGGGCGCTTAATCTGGCGGTCACGGCGCCGCGATGAAATCAGCATTCAGCTCGCGCGCCACACGCCCACTTGCCCCTAGACAGCGGCATATCATCCTCTGTATCTCTCCGCGTCGTCTGCGTGGTTTGCGAGTCTGCAATGTCCTCAGGGCACTCGTCGTTGCGGTCGCGGCGAGATGGCGGAATCAAAGGACGTTGAACTCGCGCAAACGATGTCCACTTGCTCTAAGGTGTCACAATGCTGTCCGTATGTAGGGACGTCATTCACGTGTTCTGTGCAATCATAGTGGCCTTGTGGCGATGAGTTTGCTGTCGCGGGCGTCAAAACTAGATCCAGCACCCAAACCACACCCCTTACCTTGAACTCGCCGTGACCACTCTCAGTGCCTCTACCTTTGCGTACACGTCCTGAGAGCCTTGCATGGTCTTCGCACACGCACAATCCGCTCATAGGCACGGAAAGAGCATTTTGACAGTCTGGACGCGTTCGGACATCACGTTTGCCATACACGGACGATGAGCAGGATGTGTGTTTGCTGGACATCTCTTGTAGTGTACCGTAGTCATATAGCGCGTTCGCAGTGTCACAGGCAGCCTGAACAGTCTTTTGCGTCCTTTACTGCAAAAGGTGCGCGGTCACGAAACTTCAAACTCATCTTTTGCGGCACATCCTGACATGTCCAACACTCGCAAAGTTAATGGTAGAAGTAGCTGGTAGTACTGATGCTTCCCTACTTGAGATGAGACACTACCTCGCTTTGACAGGCCCAAGAATATGGCCCTTTCACGTCCATCCATTCACTTTTGGTGCAGACATTGCATTCATATTTACTCTCCGGGACGCTATGACGCAGCACGGAGGTATCTACGGAGAGATACGCTCTTACTGGTGTTACAGCGCAACCTATGTATCCTACAAACCGACTTGCTGGGCGGCGACCGTGAACTCATCCGACCCATGTATCTCGCAAAGAGATGTGTTGGGCGAGCCGCATCCCACGCTGCTGCGAGCAACCCTAGCATTCACACTCCCCTGCGGCTGGCCACGTATTCCTTCACTTCCTTGAAGTCCTTCAACGCTTGTGGGAACGCTTCGCGCAAGATTTGTAGTTCAGCAGGGTCATGCGGCTCCTGTTCAGCATCCCCGCTCATACGTGCCATGTCTGCCCTGTAAACCTCCAACTCGGCCTTCCGTGCGGAAATCGCGCGTTCGAACGTAGCGGCTTGCAACTTCCTTCGCAGCTCACGCTCTCTGAGCTGGTTGGCGCGGTATGCGGTTTTGACTGGGTTCTTCACCCAGTCAATGTTTTCATCCCAATAAGCCTTGCGCTGTTCGTCGGTCAGATCCCTCCTCTTGATACTAGCCATGCTTGCTCCGGCCTGGGCGATGCTGAACCCTCCTGCAAAGTAGTACGCGCGGGCAAGTCGGGTAATGAGCATCTCAGCTACCGGGCCGTCCCACTCCTCGCTGATGAGACACACTGTGAACAGATCCACTTCAGGCTTGCAGCCCATCGCCCGAAGTGCCGCGTGAGCGAAAACGCAAAGCCAGTTCGAGTTGTCTCCCATCTTGTCGTGCTGCTTGGATCGGACCTTGACGTTCTTTGCGTACCCGACATACTGCATCACCGGCATTGTTTTCCTGTTCTGATTGCGACATTCTTGGGCAGTCTTCGCCAGCACTCGTGCAAAGGTCAACAAGCGTCGCTTTCGGGAAGGGTCTACGTCTTTTGTGGCCGTCCGAAGGAAATGGCGATATCCGGTGTCGCTCTTGCTTTTGTCGACTTTTGCCAGACCAGCTTTATCGATCTTGTAGGCATTGTCGGCACTTGAACCTACTTGTTGAGCATAATACAACGCGTTCGATGAAAGCACGAACGCTTGCTCAACCGTCAAGGGCTCGCGGGAGTCACCCAGTGTGAGACAGCGGACGTATACAGTTGGCTGCTTCACGCCGCGGTCATAATATCGATCTATCACGGCTCTGACAGAAGTGTCGAGCTGGTAAAGTCGTGCTAGATTGCCGTCACGCGTAGAAATCGCTTTGAGGACATCGAGGTTCATGGTAGCCAACACTTCGTCCGCTGCAAACAGCCAAGCACGGTGGCTGCATTCACCCATGAAAGTAGAGCCTGTCTTCGCTTCATCTTCGTAGGCCGCGTTGACTAGCGGTAGCCAGCCATCTTCGTCTAGCTTTTCGGAGAGCGTCCAATACTTTGTCTGGTCAATCAGCTCTTGGTCTTTATCCTCGCCAGGGTCCACAATGACTTCATCCCCTTCATCGTCTACGGCTGCATCGGGGGTCTTGATAAGTGAAGAGGAAGAGCTTTTCGAGTTCGACTTGCTATCAGACGTAGCTTGCGCATCGTCCTCGTCAGCATCTTCCATCTCTTCATCTTCGTCTTCATCTTCTTCTGGTTCGGAGAGGTCGTCCATTGGTGGGGGTGGCTGTGTGTGTGCCATGAGACCCTTGTTGGCGGTACTATGGTAGATGGGTTGAAAGGCTGGCGAGATTCTGCCGGGTGTAGGAGTTCGACGTCCTGCTGAGTTTGATATGAAGGGGGACGGCGATCGACGACGGGTGCCAGTCTGTGGCCGAGTACTGAAGGAGTACGCAGACGAGACGGGGCGACCGCCTGGTCCGCCAACAGCACCAGCACCGGTGGCAGTCTGAGGCCGATTGCTGAAGGAGTACGCAGACGGGACGGGGCGACCGCCTGGTCCGCCAAGAGGACCTGCACCGCTGGCCAACAGTGACCGACTACTGAACGAATAGGCAGACGAAACAGGGCGACCGCCGGAAGGGAGTGCACTGCCAGATGCTCCGCCAAAAGTAATCCCGGGTTGTCCGCCGGATGTGGTAGGTCGGCTCGATGTGCCACGCAAGATGGAAGTTGTCGACTGAGCTGCGATTGGAGCCGGCTGCACTTGCGACGCGCGATTGGAGCTTCCCAGGCTGGAAAATGATTTCTTGAGACCTTGCATGAAGGAGTTTTTCTTCTTGGGAGCCGACTCATCGCGATCAGACTCGCTCCGGTACTCGTCAAGGTCGTCCACAGAATCTTGCGAATCTTGTACAACCCGGTTGGTCGTCATGTCTGGAGATGTCAGGGGCTGTCGCGCTTACACTTGAAGGCGGAATCTGGATACCTCAGGGGCCGACGCGTCTACACTAGAAGACGAAAGTTGGCTGTGGTCTGGGTGCGAGTTGCGGGCGTGGGAAGGATAGCGGGTCGGCTGGTCCTCTGCTGCGACTGTTACAAGGTAGAATTGCTCGTTTGTTGTGGGCAGAATTTGCTGCAAAAAGCCTGTGCGGTCAGAACCCGTGTAGCAAACAGCTTGCTCACGAGGGCCACACATTCACAATGACGCAATATTGTCAAAGCCTTCCCTAGTCTTTGCTTACACATGTTGTCTGTCGATCCAAACAAGTCTTCCTCTGTTCTTCCCCAACCACCCTACCAGTTCGCCACCCCTTATCTCGTACCTCAGCTCCTGACGTATCCAGGTCGCAATTCTCACCTTGTAAGTGCGCCAACTCCTGACAGATCCAAAGCTCAACTCCGCTGCCCCGTGAGATCGAACCCCTCACCATGTACCTCAGCTCCTGACATATCCAGGTCGCAGCCAATTCTCACCTTGCAAGCGCGCCAAATCCTGACATATCAAACCACAACGTCGCTGTCTAGTGAGATTGAACCCCTCACCATGTCCCTCAGCTCCTGACGTATCCAGGTCGCAGCCAAATCTCACCTTGCAAACGCGCCAACTCCCGACATATCCAAACCACAACGTCGCGGTCTAGTAAGATTTGATTCTTCAACTTGCACATCGGCCCCTAACGTATTTAGATCACGCCCTACTCTCGCCTTCTTGTAAGCGCCAACTCCTAGCATATCGAAACTACAACGTCGCTGTCTAGTAAGATTTAACCCCTTAACTTACACATCGGCCCCTGACGTATCTAGATCACGCCCAACTCTCGCCTTCTTGTAAGCGCCAACTCCTGACATATCCAACCGCAACGCCGCTGTCTAGTACGATCTAACCTCCGGCAGCGATATGGCCAACAGTGACTTGTACGACGACGACCGCGATGAGCCTATCGACGGCCCTGAATCCTACCCGACAGAGACTAAAGAACAATATAACGCTCTGATCGATCACCTAGGGTAAGAAATATCGCTTTACGAATTGTGTGTGAGACCTGTACTGACTTCGTACACTGACGTTCAGGCATCTTCCCTACGACAAGACCCAACTTGATCTCGACTACTTCCTCAACGAAAACGCGAAGCTATCACTGGAGCTCGAGCAGCATAGACAATCGAACAAGCTTGCATCCGCACAAAGGGAACAACGCAAGGTTCTCAGGGAGGGTCTAGAGCGTGCGAAGAAGATGCACCAGAAACGACCTGCAAGCGGTGGAGTAGAAGAGGCCCTCCGGAGTAAGAGGATGTCACCGCAACGCGAGGAACCTCTTGAGGGGCCACAACGCACACCGACTTCCGCGCAGACTCGGACCGCATTGCAAACTCCTGTTCGCGCAGGTAGGTTATCGCCGATGAAAAGCACGTGAGACATACTGACGTTCTATCTTCACTTTAGGCCGCGGTCCGAGGTCCCTGAGCATTCGAAGCGTGAGGAATGCTTCTGCCGGAACAGGTATCGACGCCAGCCACGGAATTGCCCCGGACAATGACGATACAATCATGGCCGCCAGTCCCTCGGCATTGTCTGACATCGACGAAGTCAGCACACCCAAGGCGGCCAGTCCCGCATTTGGAGAGGGGATGGACCTTGGCTTTCGACCATCAATCAACCCAAGGCTCCAACAAGGTGCTACTATGGGAGGCACCGGCGTCCCTACACCTGTGTTTCCGGCCCATAGGTCCTCAACGGCACTTGGCATTGACGACTCTCTCACCATACCTGAGTCGGCCGACGATATCTCCCAAGCCTCAGCTCACGCCACACCAGACGTAGTACCACAAGACTCCGGTAGCCGAGAGAACTTGCCTCCACAAAAACGTGGCCGCAAGACCAAGAAGAAAGCGCCGCCGCAGACTCCTGCGCTCGACTTCTTTGTGCTAAGCGACGATGGCGTTAGGTGGCTCGACCCTATGTACCTGAACGACGATATCAGGGTTGTCATGTCGGATCAGATCAAAGGCATGGCCGAAGGCAAGTCAAATGATCAATACCAGAGGGCCGTCGAGAGGGGAGAAGCCGAGATCAACCACACATCGCACTCCTGCTTCAATTGTCAGGTCACGAAGCGCAGCCGCAATAAGTGTCACAACGAATCGGCGACCAAGACATCTTGCTCAGGATGTTGCGAGCAGAACGACCAACCATGCGGCAAGCTAATCAAGCATCCTGGTAAAGACAACGCGTATGCCATTGGCTTCCTGCCGGTACCAGCCGATCTACGCGGTAATGCGTTGTGGGAGCAGATGCACAACTGGGTCCCTGCTGTACCGAACAAGAGAGAGCGGAACCCGTCACCCGCCAAGACAGCTGGCGTCGCTGCGACAGATGAGGTGAAGAAGCGATCGAGTCTGCGCAACATGAAGGAGCCTATCAAGACTATAACCGACAGGGTTCGGAGAGGACTACGTATGTAAAGCAGTTTTCAGGGCTCGCCCAACACATCTCTTCGTGAGCTGAAAGGATGGAAACTGTAGACTTGAGCACTTGGCCGCCACTATACACTCACCCGCTTTAGACAGCTCCCTATGTACCATTATAACGAACTCTCTTATCTTGATCTTCTACTTGTACAAGGACGTGAAGCCGACGAGCGACTCGCCGCTTTCAGAACCTATCTGCACCTATCTGATCAGGTCCTCTCGAATGAGAAGTATCGTCAACACAAGAACTTGGTGCTAGGGTGTTTGGGACGAGTATGGCGTGAGACGAGGCAGGATATGAGCGCATCGGGTAATTACATGCCATAGACAAACGGCGGCTTTGATGCGCTTTTGTACGATGGTTGTCGTCGCGGTCGGTCGTGGTGGAAGTGTGTTGTGTGGTGGCAGACTTCAATGTTGAGGTTCGTGGCCCGAGCTTGGCAAGTCGGCGTCCGCCCCGCCAACCTGAGCTGCTAGCGATGATGCCCAGGTGAGGAACCAAACCCTAACCCTAACCGTCGCCGACTTCCAACGCGTATTATACCACCACCACCGAGCTCGCGGCTATTCCAATCAGCCGAAGATGCCCTGGCAAGATGCCTGATCTCTGGAAACGCTTTCGATCTCGCGCTGCGATTATGCGTGTCCGCGTCGCCACGCAGTCGCGCGCCCAGACGCATTACTGGCCTGGCAATCTGGATTAAAGCCTGGCATGGCGTCCGCAATCTTCTCAATAGCTTCGGGTGGCAGTCCTACATCGTCTCACTTATTTTGGGGGCGATGGGTGCCGCTGTCGTGGCTTAAAACGACGTATAGATTCTGGTGGCGCGTTGCGGCGCAACGTTTTAAGGTCCGTCAAGTGTACCAAACCGTGATCGCATTGCACCAAACCCTTCTGCTAGATCTAGAGGACAAGACTTCAAAGTATGGTGAGGGTACCTGTGGCGGTGGTGGCTTAATCGCCGTGCTTGGTCACAGGCGCGCCATCTCACCACCCACGACCAGCTGCGACAATGAACTAAGAGTACTGACCAGTGATGTAGTCATATCATATCACTCTTCTAGTGCGGAATATCCTCTGCCCATGATACCAGCGTCTTTTGTGGCCACGTCGTCGCTTAATCACCATGGCAGATTTTGTATGAGGCAGCACGACTGGCCATAACCAGTGATTAAGTCGAGCATTCCACCGCCTACTCTCCTAAAACCACGAGTTCACTTCGAGAAGCAAAGCGCGAGGTATTTGGGGTTGGTCAGGTCCTGGTCCGACGCTTAAAATGACATACCGGCCTCATGCACGCCAACACCGATGACAAGCCGTTGATTAAGACCCCGGACACCCTGTAGGCTTATCTCATCTCGATGAAGATGCTTAGGATGAGTAGTTCGCGAATTTTTGAGGGTCTCGCAGCACTTAATGTGAAGTTCTTGGTAGTCGAGGCTCACCACCAAAGACGTCAGCCAAAGAATGCAGCGAATTAAACGCAACCAGTACTATTGTAAGTAGATAGATTTGTTTTCCCCGACCTCTCCCGACACCCCAAGCAATTGCGTGTTCTACGGATGCGATTTGGTGCTTTAATATGTCCGGATAGCCGCTTTCCATGGCGGCCCGCGTATGTGCACCCAAGTCTTTACGACCGACGTCAGGGCCGTCCAGTGTCTTACTAATGGATAAGTATCAGATATATCATCGTGCTGGTGAGTCTGGTAGGCTTCGCACGGGTTGCAAAACATGGCAAAGGCCTCACTGCGAGACAAACCCGTACGTCATTCAGCGAGGTCAGGCTAGTGATCGCTGGGCTTTCTGGAACGTTCTCGGTAGGAAGTGAATGTTTGGACATTGCGGCTACTTACCTAACCTGGCCAAGTGGCTGTGGGCAAACGACTCTACCCGCAACTGCATATACTCACTTCCGCGCACACACAAATTCATCCGCCCTTCCCCCGCACTACCGTCGCACCCACTTCTTTACTGCGCTTACCTTACATCGCCTCAATAACTGGTAGGCGCCTGGTAACTACCATGGCGTCTTCGTTCAGGCTCCCAAATCATGAGCAGGATGAGGCGCGTATTAAGCTGTACGACCTTGCCCAGCCACATGAACCCACTGCGTACGAAAAGCAAAGCATGATGGAAGTCGAGGAAGCCCTTGCAACCTTCAAGACCGAGGATAAGTATCACAAGTTGATGCTCAAGAAGGCAGAGACTCTCCCACCCATTGTGCAGCTCGTCAGAGCGTGCAAAATGCGGGAAGATAGCCTTCAAGCCCACCATGCAGAACAAGTACAACAACTTCTGCAGGAAAAGGAAGCCGAGCTCACGACAAAGCACACAACCGAGCTAAAAGAGGCTCAGGACAAGTATGTATATCTCCTATATCGGCGATTTGCTCGCACATTCACTAATCTTGACAAAGACATCAGGAACAGCTCCTTAAAGAGACCCGAGCACTCGAACAGCGCGAAACGAACCTAATAACCGTGCACGCCGGGGAACTCAGAAGCATCCAGTCCGCCTTGACCGCAGCAGCAGCTAGCAGAGGCATTTTCCTTTTGGCCGAGGCAGAGAGTCCGGCCATCGATCGACTGAACGCTTACATTACGGCTTCTGGAACGAGCAGCAAGCAGAGCGAGGCGAGCCAGCAGAACGAGACAAGACGGGTTGAAGGCCTTTACCAAGCCAGCGACGACCGCGTCCGCGAACACATGAGGAAGACGCTTGTCGATATGAAGATGCCACCGGCCTCAGGAGATGCCTTGGAAGCCTACACCGTCTCCTTCGTCAACCAGATGTTGGGCATACACCGGGACCTGACTGCGCACCGTATTGCATCAGTTCGTATTAATCGCGACGTCACCGATGCTCTCAGGACACACATGGGAAAGACCTTTCGTCCGAAAGCTTCCTGTGAGACAAATGTCTCTATCTTCGTGGGCTTGCTGCCCGGCCTCGTCCGCGAAACGACGGAGCGCACTCATTCAGATGTCATGAAGAGCATCCACGACGCCTTCGACGATGTTTGTAACAAAACCAACATCCATGTGCCGTCTTCCGCTTCACCAGAAGATTTCATTCAGCAGCTTGGTGCCGCGTTTGACACTTTGATCGGAAGCTGCAACAGTATATGGCAAGATGTGGCCACAACAGTCAACGTCACCACAGCCCGTCTGGATATGGACCTGGCTCTGTTGCAAGACGACTCCATCGACGTAATGGTCAAAGAGTTCGCGAAGCGAATGCGCGATCAGCTCGAACACTCGCACGAGGAGCGGGATGAGGCTGTGCGTAAACTTTCCGGCCTTGACGAGTGGTTGAAGACGATTGTGCAGAGCCTGCGCGTATCTTCCCAAAGCCTGGGTCTCTCGATCGAAGAAGGCCTCGAAGACAGAGAGTTCTTGACGACCTATTTGGCCAATCTCAGGATGTCCTTTAGCAAGCAGAGCGCTATTCACAAAGCGGTGGGCAAGCAAATGAACGACACTAGCGCAAGTCTGGGTATCGACATCTCAAGCAAGAGTGGCAGCCTTCTCAACGACAGGATGAAGTTATTTGTAACCCTTGTTACAGACCGTGTGCAAGGAAACAACAAGAAAGCGGATGATCGATTATCGAAGCTTGTCGAGCTTATGAGGCCTGCACTCGATACGAAGGCCACCGTACCAGCAGACAACACGCCTGAAGCTCTCTTTGCCGCCTACCATAAATATGCGAGCGAAGCCATCCGGCTTCTATCGTCGGAAAGGCAGAACATCGAAGGCGCTGTGGACCAGGCTACGTTGAAGTTCGGTTTCCAGGCTTCACTTGAGAAGCAAGTCGATCGCAAGGTCGCTCGGTTCATCGAAACCACAACAACAACCATAGATGGATGCAAAGCGAAGATCTCGGGAGTAGAAAAGGCAGCGGCCAGCGCCTATCAGAAGCTTGGAAGACGCCCGGACGCCAGCGCAAGCTTGGAGTCGCAAGTAAGCCTTTTTGGAGAGCAGATGCTCAGCGTGACTTCTCAGACCGAGGCCCGGATGACGGCAAGTACAGCCACAGTCCTATTTTTTGAGACCATCTAACCTCATTCCAGGCTATTGACACCGTCATCAGCAAAGGCGCCAGCGACAACAATGTGGTACTGACGGCTACAGCCACCGCTGGCCGTCTCAACGAACTATTGCGCAAAATCAAGGACAACACTGGTGCGCAAACGCGACTCTACACGAACCTCGAGCGAGACATACACGATGCGATAAATGCAACGGCACGCACGCTCGAAGTCGACATCGTGCAGGACGTCACGGTTCCGAAGCGCTTGGAAGCTCTCGTTGTAGAGGTCAACAAAGACCGCGACATCCAGGATCAGGCAGCCAAGACTCGCATCGTATCCCTGACAGGCCTTGTTAGATCATACAGATCTGAAGTGCTGCACAACGTCTCCATCTCGGATACTTTCGGCAAGGCTGCATTGCCGGCCTGGGATGATCATGAGCAGATTGAGAGGTTCTTCCGCACTGAGCGTGAGCAGTTCTGCACTGCACTGAAGAAGTGGAAGGGTGAGTTTCAACAGGTACGTTTAAGACATCGATCGCGTCGTTTCAGACTCTCGCTAACACAGTCACCCTAGGAGCGACGAAGCATCGTCCGCGCATACGATATCATGTTTCGCGATATCTGGAAGGTTTCTTTTCCTAACCGGGCACCCATGCCTGCTGTTCAGCCCGATAGCACGCTCAAAATTATCGAGCTGTGGACACAGGGCCAGTCAAGCGCTTACCAGAACGCCTCAGCCCAGTCGCAGCAAACCGACAGTGCCATGATCTCGGAACAGCAAGAGGTGTCCAAAGATATGTTCAACATGACCGATGCGTTCATTCGAGACGTCTTTGCCCTCCACTGTTTCGCACTGGAAAAATGGCCAAGCCACAACGAGAACGAACCGATCAAGACGAAAGACTATCAAGAACGTCTCGATGGACTCTACAGTGAGTTGAAGAAGGTTGTCGTGGCGAGTGAAAATGCCAATTCAGAAGGAATGACAACGATGAAGAATGCGGCTGTCGATGCGCTGAATCACATCATCGAGAACTCAATGGGTCAGCAACGCTCGCCGTGGCAGCTGCAAGAAGACGACTTCGGCAACTTTGGAACCTGGGCAGAAACACAACAGCAGGCCATCGCAAACTATATCGGAACGACTGCTGCAGCATCTAAGAAGGCGACCACCGCACTTGGCGACGTCATCAAGGGAGTGTCTGCAGCTTTCACGAGCATATACGATGCTACCGAATCGGGACTCAAGAAGCCCGAATGGCCAAAGCTGTCTCCTGAGTCGCCTGATGTTGCTATCATGTTCTTCAAGGGTCTACCAAACGATATCACGCTACAGCTCACGACACAGAAGCTGGAAGCAACTCGGGAAACTTCAACTCTCCAGCAAGCGCACACGGACTTGGATTCCGTCATGGCCAGCGCCTCTGATCTTGTGCAAAACTTGGAACGCAAGCTCTCACTAGAAGAATCTCCTCGTCTGCAGCGTGAGGACGGTATGATCGCAACGCGAGCTTGGTTTGGCAGCAAAGGCATAATATTCCAAGACCGCATTGCCCAGAACGCCAAGCTACATGAGGAAAGCCTCCAGAAGCTACTCAACTGCATGGAAGACTTTGTCGTTTCTGCTCTCCAGCAGGCCGGACGACGGACATTTACCACCCGGAAGCCTACACTAGAGAGCAGCCAAGATTGGGTAGCCGAGCACTCCAAAATGCTTGAGGGTGCCCTAACAGAGCAGCGATCTGTGGATGACAAGAAGATCAGCCAGCTGCTCAACCATGTGGTTAGGGTCACAACTAGACTGTCTAAGATGGCTGTCGATGAGATCCCCGCGTCCACTAGTGTTCGCAGCGATTGGAGCAGTGAGGAACTGACGGCTCATTGTTCCACGATCGAAGCCTGGCTCCAGCAAAAGCTGTCTCTCGTTCAAGAAAAGCAAGCCAGTCAGCTACATGAGAAGTACGGCGACTGCATTGTGGAATTCATCACCTCGGTCTTTAAAGACACATTCTCTTTCCAGGGCCTGGTGTACCCTGAAGAGGACGTCCCAGCTCTGGAACTACGGCCGGACAAGTCGCTTGAGGCGGCTTTGGCCAACGCCCACGCAGCCAAGACATGGGTTTCCGCCTGTGCAGCGACGATTGGAAAGGCGCTCACCGCTAGGAAGGTCCAGAAAAACCAACTCGTAGCGGACTTTAATAGGGGGATAATTGACCAGAGGTCGCTATTGCACGACTGCGAAGTGCTCAAGGGAGATGTGCAAGACAGCATGGATCTGGCGAATGACCTGTATGTTCAGGTGAACAGGCTGACGGGGGCTTAGCTGCCGAGGATGGGTGTCAACGAGAGATGGGATGACTGGGGCAGGTAGCAACACAGGTTCAGCAAGCAAGCGAACACGGGCCAAGTATACTACACATCTCCATGAGTAAACATAGTTTGACCAGACTTCACCCTTCCATTGAGCGCACGTCTCCGATCTCCCACTCTCTCAATGGCATGCTAGCTCTTTTTCGAAAGGATCTGATTGCATGGGTACATACGATCGATGACATGCTACGCGTGTACTCTTCCGTATCTTCAACATCTGACGTCGTACTCCAAAACAGCTACTTACGCTACTAACAAAGTAGAACAGGGTATCATTAATGTGAAGTGTAAGATTGTCTGCCAAGCGCGATACGCTAAAGCGCACCCCATCCGAAGACACTCTGCCCGAATTTTGTAATGGCCAGATATTGCAATCCCCACAGGCCAAGATCGATAGTCAGCTCCAGTGCACCACAGAGCGCTACGCGTGAGAGCTGGGTGCCAATGTTCAGCCAGCCCACACCCTCACCGAGACCCAACCCACCCACAACCCGGTACGACCCTGCATGCCCTTCTTGCCTGGCTACAAAATGTGAGGCAATCGCTCGCAAAGTGGCCATCCTCAATGGGAGCATAACAAGGCCGACAAGCTGGGCTCTGACCATTGCACTGATCATCTGCGCCGGCTCACACGAGAGTTGCGTGACGCGGTGGTATCCATGACCGTCCATTGAGCGGGCTCGGTTCCTTGACCCGGCAGCTGCGTCGTCTTGCAACGGATCCGAGCCTTCTGCGACTTGCGTGTGCGTGGAAAGTATCCTAGGCGGGAGACGGACTTCCATCTCTACGATTCCTTCCCTCGACGTTATGCGTATCCGGGGACCGTTCTCGTTCTGCTCCGATTGTGTCGGCGATCCTGGCGGGGTGGTAGATCGCACCAGGTCCTCAAATGCATCGATCGGAACGGCAATGACATCTGCATCGAGCGGCTCTGCGGAAGTGTGATCTTGCGAGTGCAGGACGGGGAGATTGAGTGGGGTAGCGCCGGCAACCTGAGTGCCACCAACTTGTAGCGTCTGGATCTCGCTCGAGGCGATTGCGGGTGCAAGCTCCATTGCCCGCTTTCTTTGTGCGCTCGGAGGGGACACCGGCCGGGCCCACCCAAGCATTGCGAGCAGGCTGTGAACGGCGTCCCGAATCAGGGGCGGTGACTCCCGTCGCAGCCCGAGAACAGCCAAGGCCCGGTCTTTTCCACTGGCGTCCCGGCTGGGAATGTCGGGCTCGTCAGGACGGATCATGGCCGTCTCGACAGCTTCGTAGACGCAGGCGTAGACCCAGCGCTCGATGGAGTGCTCAGCACACAGGAGGATGGCGGGCGAGGTCAAGATTGCACCGATGCAGTCCGCCATGGACTCAGACGCATTGCAGTGCAGAGAGAACGGCAGAGGCGACGAGTCTGAGAGGGGATTGAGGGACCGCCAGGCTGGCAGTAGTGGGCGGGCGGGCACTAGTCCAAGGCGTTGCAACGCAGCGTGGTAGAAGAAGGGATAGCACAGCATCTCGAGACCCAGGCGAAGGCTGGACTTGAGGGCTCTCCTGGCGTGGCGGAAGAAGTTGCGTGTCCTTGCGGTTGCGCGTGTGGCATAGAGCAAGCGCTCGACAGGCTGATAGACAAAGGTGCTGTAGACAATAGCTTGGATGTGCATGGTCGCAAACACGCGCGCGGCAAAGCCGGCATAGACAATGGGGGCGCCAGAGAGGGCACGCTCGGCGGCGGCGATTTGGGCAAAGGTGAGGGCATGGGGATAGTGGAACGTCTGCGCCGGTTAGTGGATGCACGAGAGGGCGGCGGCAGGAACGTGCCAGAATCCTCTCCCTGAGAGTGCCTATCCACCAGGTGCACAGGTTCTCGGTGAGCGTGGTCGCCAGTGCAATGGCATTCCCAACGGTGTCCTCGGCTTCCAGCAGCTCGAGGCGGTCGTGGCTGGCGCGCGGGAAGGCTCCCGCCGGGGCGTGTCGCCGCTCGACGACGCCGACCGAGGCCAGCACATCGTTCTGGGCGCCTCGCAGCTTCTTGCCGTACTGGTGGGAGCGCGGGTTGATGGGGCTGCCGCGCTCGTCGTAGAGCTGGACGTAGCTGTTGGCGGTCGCTTCGTGGTAGCGCGGCGGGACGTCAGCCTGCGCCGACTCGAGCTGGACGTACGCGGGCGACTGCGATGCGGCCTGCGTGGGCGCAAAGGCCGAGCGCCCCTAGCACCGTGTTAGCCAGCATGTGCGCGCGGCGCTGGCGGGGTCCGTACAAAGGCCATCTTGTCCAGGTAGGCTTGGCGGCCCATGGTGGTGGTGGTGGAGGTCGCACGGTGGGTGTGCGGGAGACGCGCCGCCAGACGTCAGCGCGCGGTAGGGCTGCCTTATCGATAAACTTTTTTCCTGCGCCCTCAGCTCGCCCAGCATACGCTTCCTGCCTCTGCCTCTGCACCACACGGCCCATCATGTCGGCGCAACGAGCTGCCGTCAAGACCACGTACAGCGTCGCTCGCACCCTACAGCCCATCTACGCGGGCGGCAGCCTGGCCCTCAGCGAAGACGGGCGCATCTTGGCCGCCAGCTTGGGCGAGGATGTCCTGCTGTCCGACCTCACCAACGGCCAGGAGCTGGCAAGGGTCGAGGGCGACGGCGAGGCCATCACGGCCCTGGTGCTGACGCCAGCTGCATCCCACCTCGTCGTGTGCTCGCGGTCGCTGTCGATGCGCTTCTTCGCCCTCCACCCCCCGGCCACGGACGACGACACCATCGAGCTCGAGCTTCTGCGCACACTGCGGCCCCACACATCGCCCGTAGTCACCCTGGCCACAGACCGCAGCGGCACGCTGGTTGCAACCGGAGGCGCAGACGGCGTCGTCAAGATCTGGGACATTGTCGGCGGCTACACGACGCACGCTTTCCACGGCCACGGCGGCGTCGTCTCGGCCCTGCACTTCTTCGAGGTAGAGGTGGCGGAGCGCCCAGACGCCCCCGACAACAACAGGAAGAGGAAGAGGAAGTCGCGCCCAGACGCTGCCGAGCTGGAGCACGCCCAGGGCGAGAGCCAGATGCAGTTCCGCCTGGCCTCTGGTGCCGAAGACGGCCGGATACGCATCTGGGACCTGCACAAGCGCAAGAGCGCCGCCGTGCTCGACTCGCACGTCTCCGTCGTGCGCTCGCTACAGTACTCGCCGCACCAAAAGGCCCTCGTGTCTGCCAGCCGAGACAAGACGCTGATTGTCTGGGACTCGCACACGTGGAAGGCGCAGCGCACCATTGCTGCTCTCGAAGGCATCGAGAGCGCAGGCTTCCTCCCCGACGGCAACACGCTGTATTCGGGTGGAGAGAACGGCCGACTGCGCCTCTGGTCCGCGTCCAGCGGCAGAGAGCTCACCCGAGAGCAAGCGCCTGGAACCGAGACGGACGAGATTGTCAACATTCTCTACTATCCTTCGTTACCCTACTTGGTCTCGGTCCATGCCGACCAAGTGCTCAACTTCTACACCCTCAGACCAGCCGAGTCGCTCGGCGTGCAGGACACCATCGACCCGCTCCCCATATTCCGCCGCGTCTCGGGAACGCACGACGAGGTCATCGACATTGCCTACGTTGGCAGAGACAAGTCGCTACTGGCGCTCAACACCAACTCGGAAGACATCCGCATCATCACGTTGAACGAGTGTGACGGAGACGACGCAACCCAGGGCAGATACTTCGGTGCGGATGTCGGCTTGCTCAAAGGACATGAGGACATCGTCATCTGTCTGGACGTAGACTGGTCAGGCCACTGGCTTGCTACAGGTGCCAAAGACAATACGGCGCGGTTATGGCGAATCGATCCCGCGAACGAATCCTACACTTGCGCCGCAGTCCTCACTGGCCACGCCGAGTCGCTCGGCGCGATTGCATTGCCGCACACAATACCTCAGGAATCGTCAGCCGCCTTTGCCGACCCCCTCTCACATCCTCCCGCATACGTCGTGACCGGATCGCAGGACAGGACCGTCAAGCGGTGGGATACTACCAAAGAGATGAAGGGCAAACTGCGAGCCAAGTACACCCGCAAAGCACACGACAGAGACATCAACGCCATCGACATCGACCCCTCTGGCAGTCTCTTCGCATCCGCATCGCAGGATCGCACCGTCAAGATTTATTCCGCCGCAGAGGGAGAGGCCATCGGTGTCCTTCGGGGCCACAAACGCGGCGTATGGTCGGTCAAGTTCGCACCCAAGGCGTCGCAGGCGCCAAACTCGGGAAACAAGGGCCTGGTCGCAACAGGCAGCGGCGACAAAACCGTCAAGATATGGAGCCTAGCAGACTACAGCTGTTTGCTCACCCTGGAAGGCCACTCCAACAGTGTTTTGAAGCTGTCGTGGTTGCCCTACCGACCCGTCGATGCACGAGACAAGCGCGGTCCGCAAGTAGCCTCTGCAGCTGGTGATGGGCTTGTCAAGATTTGGGACTCACTCTCGGGCGAGGCCATGACCACACTCGATAACCACACCGACCGTGTCTGGGCGCTCGCCGCACATCCAACAACAGGCGCCTTGGTTTCTGGTGGTGGAGACAGTGTCATCACGTTCTGGGAGGATACAACAAGCTCCACGCTGGAAGCTGCGACGACTGCAGAGACAGAACGCGTCGAACTCGATCAGAAACTACAAAACTACACGTATGCCGGCAACTACCGCGAAGCCATCGTACTCGCCCTCCAAATGGACCAGCCAGCCCGCCTCTTCTCCCTCTTCAAGTCGGTAGTAGAGACTGAGCACCCAGATGCAGACAGCCTTTCAGGTCTCCATACCGTTGACGAAGTACTCGCCTCTTTGGCAGACGAGCAGCTGTACAAACTGCTCATCCGCCTCCGTGACTGGAACACCAACGTCCGCACCGCGCCGATCGCTCAAAAAATCCTATGGGCTGTGGTCAAGTCCTACCCTGCTTCTCGGCTAGCCAGTCTGAGGCCGCAGGGGAAAGTAGGGGCGAAGGGCAGTTTGAAGGACGTGCTGGATGCTATCAAGGTGTACTCTGAGAGACACTACAAGCGGGTAGAGGAGTTGGTAGACGAGAGCTACCTGCTGGACTTTACTCTAAAGGAAATGGATGAAGTAGCTGGGGAGGTAAAGGCCATTACGAATGGCACCTCGCAGCTGGAGAGAGACATTGTAATGGTTGATTGAAGGCACTCCGAGGAGATCCTGTTCAGTGATGAGTTCAAGGCGAGTAGCTGTGTTATAGGCGCAGGGTAGATACCAAAGTTTGTCATTATCGAACTACGTGTGCGGCTGTTGCACTTGCTTTGCGTGACACCGAAGATGATGGTCGCCAGCGCATCCTCCAGCCCTCAGTCGCAGGGAATATTCGGCGTAAAGCAACAGCTCCTTGGATCCTGCATATTCTTTGACAGTGACCAGCATCTCTCGGAGCTGCCAAATCGGTGTACGTAGATACGCGCCTGCGAATAGATGGATCGCCGTCTGTGCCTCGGTTATTCTGACCGGCTATGAGATCACCGGTCCCGACTCCTCACCCAGCACCTACATACATAGGGCATGGTGCCAGGAACAAAGTCGCACCCCCTGTCTTATCCCCACAACAGCTCCCACAGACTCGCTCTCTAAAGAAAGCCGGTCATGTCTCAGCCGAAGATTACATTCTACGTGGACATTGTGAGCCCGTTTGCCTACATTGCTTTCCACGTCCTCAAGGTGAGTTTGTCTGGGTGGTGGTATAGGTTGAAGCACGTTTGAGACGTAGAGGTGTAATGCGGTGCTAATCGAAGCGTTTGTGCAGAATTCAAAGGCCTTCAAACAGGTCGAGGTGCAATATGTGCCGATCCTGCTTGGGGGTTTGATGAAGGTCTGTGGGAACACACCGCCGCTGAACATTAAGAGTATGTCAAGTTTTGTTCTCAGACTTGCCACTGTCTACCCTGACCTCTAACATCATACAGACAAAGACAAGTGGATCAATACGGAGCGCCAGCGCTTGTCGAAACAGTTCAACGTGCCCATCCTGCAAGATGCTCCGCCTGGCTTCCCTGTCAGCACATTGCCCATTCAGCGCGCCCTGGTATCTCTCTCGCTCTCTCACCCACAAAAACTTGAACGCGCAATAGAGCTCTGCTACGAAAATTTCTGGGCGCACTGGAACGACCCGACTAAGCCGGAGAATCTGCAGGCTATCCTTGGGACTGTTTTGGGCAGTGACGAAGAGGCGCAAAAGGTGATCGCGAGGACGAAGACCGATGAGGTGAAGCAGGCTCTGGGCGGAAACACTACCAAGGCGTTTGAAGACGGCGCCTTTGGGCTGCCATGGTTTGTCGGTAAGCGCAGAATTGGTGCTCTGTCAGATAATCAGAAAGTGTTTGTTGACCATGTGCGGCAGCTACCAACGCGAGAGGAGAGACTGAGGGGTACTGGGGCGTCGATCACATGGGTCAGCTATGTGACCATTTGGGTCTGGAGAGGCCGTCTAGTAAGGAATGGCGCTCATTGCTGTAAGAAAAGGTTTACCATCGGCCGACACGACCACGCATACAGTCCCGGATTATGTATTCCACGACGAATTCCAGCCGAGCACAGCTACTGTCTCCCATTGACTATGCTAGCTGTAACGAGATGCTCGTGACAATTTCAGAGCTGACAGGGGCTATGGTATTGGGGATTCGCGCTCCTTTCACTTTAAGCTGCTGTCTCTAGGCCACCACCTGGTAACATCAGGGTTGACACAGCAACGAAATCTCAGTGGGCCATAATTACGCCTTCCTGGCTTGGCCCTGCGCAATATACAAGTGTGAGTCCTCCGCTTGAGCGCGAGTTGTCGTTGAAGTTTCGTCCTCTACTCGTCATTCATCCTATGTCAGAAAGCACAGGTCTCCATGTGATTTTTCCTCTGGTGCACTTGCAAGTCTGCCCCACAATCTTTATCTGCCGCCATCAGTCCTCCTCCCCGTCTTTACTGTCGCCGGTATTCAGTTCCTCGGCTGCAGATCCAGTCTACTGAAGAAATGGATTACTACCGACAAAATGAACTCCCCGAGACGGTCAAGCGTTACAAGACCTACACCGACCAATTCCAAGCGTGGTTGCTCCAGACAGCCTTCCAACGTGGCGTGGAGATTGCAAATGTGGTTGCAGACCAGGCTAAGAAGAAAAAGAACAAGAAGGGCTACAGAATACCGCTACAGAAACAGGAGCAGCTCGTCAACGCCATAGCCGCTACGAGCATTCCGCTCGCGGACACCAGTGGTATCGACGACCTGGGAGACGCTATCCGGTCAAGGAAGGAGGTAACGCAATATCACAAACACAATAACACGGCGGACCTGGGTCATGAATACTTCAATGGCAGCTTAGAAGCGCTCATGGCGGTGCTGAAGGATCTTGTCCCCGGTATCAATAAGGCTCGAAACGGCAAGACTGACACGCCTACCCTTGTCTTCATCCAGTTTCCCGCCGAGTCCAACAAAAGCCAAGACGAACAGGACGATTTACTTGAGAAGATGCGGAAGCGGGACCAGGTTGACATGGATGATGGCAGCCAGCAGCAGCAGCCTCTGACTTCCAAGACGAAGACGAAGGCGCCGATACCAGAGGAGAACCTGCTGACTGCAGAGGAGGAACAGTTGCGCCGTGACTTTCTTGTACTCTGCTTCCTCTACAAGTTCAACCGCATACGGGCTGTCGTCTACGACGTGTGGGTCGCTTACCATGAGGGCCATGTCAATGCGATGACCGCAGCGCTAGTGACCGACCTAGCCCAGGGTAAGTGTCTCTGTACAAATTGCATGTGAAGTAGATACTGACTTCGTCCACCTGCATTTAGATCATTTGCACCAGAACGTCAAGGCACTGATGGAGGAGCTCGATTTGCTACCAGGAGACCTGGCCATACTCATCCGTCAGCTTTTCGATACGATCAAAGCAGCTCCCAACACTGGAGCACAGAACGCAGCAACACCGCTCACTGAAAAAGCACTGCGTCACCTGTTTTGTCTAGATGATGCTGCCGTCTTGATCAAGAGCTACGTCACGAAAAAGCGCCCGATGAAGGACAGTATTGGCAACGACATCCAGGAGCACCCTCTCATGATATTTTTGAGGTTCTTCGACGTTATTCGCAAGGGCAACCTCAAGCTTCCAAAGTGGGATCACTTTACCGCAGAGATGCTGTTGCATCAGAGTACATCACAAGACTACCTACCCTTCGGCCTTGCCATTGTTCTCGACATCCAAGAGGCAGTGCGCGACGACTGTCGTCGGATGCTACGCGACCTCACCGAGCACGGCTTAGACATCGCCCGATGTATCCGTTGTCATGTCGACTACGAAGACCGCATGTGGGCCAAGGGAACAAAGCCTGACTACATGTGCAAAGAAGAGATCAAGTTCAGTACCCTCCTGTTGAAGCCTCTAGACAGGCTGTTGGACTGGCTGCAAGATGTTCTGAATTCGCGAGAAGTGCCGATGGCTGCTAGCGTCTTCATCACCGTTCATTCGACGCTCGCGGGACTTTCAATGTGGCACTACAACCAGATCTACCACCATACTACCATTGCCAAGATACAGTGGTTCATCAATGGCCTCGCTCACCTCTACAACGCCGCCTGCCAAATCGGCGGTCTGAACATCCAGTGGCCAGACCTCGACTATCTGATCAAGATGCATGGGTAAGATTTTCAGCGTATGAACTACATGTGAGACACGCACTGATTCTGTGCTCAACGCTTAGGTCAAGAGCTTTGTTTCACGGCGATCCACCAACCCACCCTAACGACTTCCTCAATCGCTATCTCCTCTCGGGTAGCACCAGTAGCCGCGCTATGGCCACGGACTTCCGCCACACTTCCAGGTACCTCCCTCGGGTGCCGAAACAAGTTGGAGTGAAACGCGGTTTACGGAGTGATTTGCCATTGGAGGCTAAGATTTCCGATTACTATGGCCCGAACCCGGACAATAACCGTTGGCTGAGGCGTCATGCAGTCTTCAACCATCTCTACCGACGGAAAGAGACTGTTGGAGGCGCATCAGACGATGACTGTAAACAGGCTAGGCGGATCTCAGAGGACTTGCGAGACACGTTTGCCGATCTAGCAACCAAGATCACGCCCTCGAAGCCAAGGCGAAAAGGCAAGGACAAGGCCAGGGTACGCAAACCCGATTTCGACAAGCAGGACGAGACACACGCCAACCTGCTAGGTACCATGAGGTCAGAACTGCAGGAGAACGAAGTACACAGTAACTTTGACTTCCTCTCCTTCTATCGTCGCGCCTTCGGCCTCGTTCTACGCCTTCGCGAGGAAGTTCTCATGAGCGACGATGTACGGCGCTCCCGGGCTGAAGACATCAATGCAAATCCCGAGCCCCACAACTTCCAACTGATAACAGATCTCTTCCGCGATCTTCGAATTGAGCCCAAGACTAAGAAAGAAGAAGAGGCCGAAGCGAAGGAGGGTGCTGGACAGCAGCTCTCAGCCAAAGTCGTACCGTTGAAGCAGATTCGACGTGTCGCTGAGATGATGCATGACTTGACCCTTGCCAAGGGTGATGTGGAGTTGAGGCGCGCCAAGTTACGGGTCAAGGGGGACTGGGAGGGTCTCAAGGCTTCGTATGCTGCTGAAGAAGCTGAGAAAGAGGCTTCTGGTGTCGAAGAGAGCGTTCCACAGGCAGAATCCGAAGACGAAGTGGTGACTGAGGTTTCCGATGCTTTAGATGGCCTTGCGCCTCCGCTGAGCATCGTCAACGGCACCAAGCGCACGTTCGAGGCAGATCGAGACTCAGAAGATGGTGGGACGTATACGCTGGGGTCTCAGGTCTTGGGACAAAAGCATACACAGTGCGACACGAAAAACTGGTCAGACGAGCCTGATAGTCTAGAAGTCCTTGATGTCGCTATCGATACCCAGGATATGGAGGCCCTGTCACGCTTCGAGGACAAGAGAAATGACATCAGGCGCAAATGCGAAGCGGGCGTTGACTCCGCGAACCGCCCAGTTCACTTGCTCAACTCAGGCGGTTGGAACGGCGCATGTGTAGAAGTCGCTGCGGACGAACACATCCCCACTTCCATTGCGCCCGAAGCAGACCAGCGCCATTCCTTGGGCGCGCAAATCCGTCAGGTCATGGGCACTGCTGCCGCAATCTCACTCGCAGCACCCATCAACGATGACAACAAACACAGCGGCACAAGATCTATAGGGTGCGTTTCATTAGCTACGGCGACCAGGAACAAGCCAAAAGGGATATACCACCGCATCACATATTCCAGCACTACGTCTCGCAAATCCCGTATCACGGCCATCTTTCCTTCGTCATCGTCTAGGAACACCAAGCTTCTAGCGCTAACCCAGCCGCGAAAGGCCTCATTCCACCGTCTCTCTGGTACCGCTAGGAAGCATCGCATCGCCTTTCACTGCTACACGCGATGCGCTATGGCTCGTGCCCTACATGGCCAGCAGACTCGTCTGCAGCGACGAATGGCGATTACCGTTGCGGAGCTGAAGAAGAAGGCCAGGAGGGATTCGGCCGGTAAGTTTTGACGGTATGAAGTGCATTTGAGACATATACTGACTTCGTACCTCCACCTCTGCAGAGTTGGAACGAGTCTGGTCGAGCGTTAGGGATATGGAAATTGGCAGGGTTTGGGAGACGGAGAGTGATGTGAGTTTGGACTGAGGGGGAAGGAGAGTGCTTGGTAAAGAGGGATCCACGAACAACGAGTTGCGGTCGCGTAGATTCGTACTTTTGAGTAAGCATAGCATAGCAGTGCGATGTGATGCCAGCTAGGACGTCCAGACAATGGCACAAATTCTCTTCACAAACGGTCTATAAATACATTTCTAACGGCCGTTACGCTTTTAGTAACCCCCCATCAGCCCGGTTTCTTTTACAGTCTGACCCACATCACGCCATACTCATCCCTCGAACATCTTCGTAGTACTAACGTTAATCCGACTCCACGCCTTCCCTGTCCTCAAAGCCTCTAGAAACTTCGCAGGCCAATAGATATGATACAAAACGAAAAAGGGCAGAGGGTCTTCGAACAAATACGTCCCATCCTTCCAACCGACAACATGACTCCAAAATGTCGCCAAGTCATTGAAAGCAGCCTGGAAGGTCGCGACGCCGAAAAGTAAATCAAGAAGCGGCAGGACAACAAAAGACACCAAGTCATGGCCGATCCAGTAATAGCTGTATGTCGGGGAGCGAGGGAAAACAGGACCAATTTTGTGTTTCGATGACAAGGGGTTAGGGCTGTTGAAAATGGAGAGGTAAGCTTCTGCCATTTCGGGAGTTTGCTCAAAGAGCACGACGGCCGTGTGGGCGCGCGGGTTGGATTCAATAGGGTAGAACTTGGCGGCTGCGCCTTTGTCGTCGTTCTCGACTAGGAAGTCGAAGCTTAGGTGGCCGGTGAAGCTTTCGCCGCCGTCCTTGCACACGCGCTCGGTAAAGCCAAGCATCTTCTTGCTGAGGGGCGACGAGGCAGGCAGCGGCTCGTAGTGCATGAGGAGTTCTAGGCTGGGACAGCTGGTGAAAGCTTTTACTTTTCCACGGATGACGAGGGCGTGCGTACAGTATTCGCTTCCTTTGATGAATTGCTGGAGCTGGAACGGGTTCTCTTTGGTGATGTTGAGCGAGTGGATGTATTGGGCTGTGGCGTCTGGGCTATTGAATGGCAGCAGCGTCATCATGTTGTTCCTGGCCTTGTCGTCCACACCGATGGGTTTCATGATGAACTGTCGTCTTGGTACCGTTCTTCCTGATTTCGTTGGCGTTCTGTGCAGCTCACCCATGAGCACATCGAGCGCTTCATGTGGGTTGGTGCAGCGGTGCGATTCCGGGATTGGGAGACCAAGCGACTCGATGTAGTCGATGAACTTGTCCTTTTCATGGAACTTTTCGACAACGTCTTCCCGGAACTGGATGGCTTCGAAATGGCGGCCTTGTTCTCTTGTTTGCTTCTCTGCTAGGCGGACGACTTGGCCATCTTCTACGGCTGCGACAACGCTGGAGCAACTGATCCATAGGTCCACTTTCTCGCGTTGGATGATCGAGAGAATGGAGTCAATGTATGGCTCTGCATCGTCGCCACTCGGTGTGTCCAGACAGTAGTACTTCGCAATAGCGCTGGAGAAGCGACCTGGCGATAAAGAAGAGATGTCGGCGCCAACGATGCGATGCGGTGTATGCTGCGACAGGTTGCGCGCAATCGTCAGCCCTTTGGTCATGGACACCCCAGTGACGAGGATAGTTTTCTGTCTTCGTGCCGCCGCCACATGCTGCTTATCCTCGGTCGAAAAGGTTGCGTTGTGCTGCCCATGGAGTCGCGACACTGCAAGACCAAGCAAGACCAGCGCTGCCGACACAGGCGCGCAAACAGCGCTCAGAGCCAGTAGAAGCACATTCTTCCACACATGGCTATAGTAAAACGGCACCACGGCATCCTTCTTTCCCTCTGCCATGTCTTCGCCGTTGCTGTTGATGGAAGAGAAGTGCTCGTGACCTCGGCACTTGTTCTCGCACAGTCTTCACCGTTCAGACGTTTCCCAACACACCACCAACGGCGTTACCTTATCAAAAAAAGGACCGAGAGAGGTCTCAACTATGCCCTTGCAAAAGCCTGCAAGCTGCGCTGCACTGCAATGCGGGCTGCAAGTAAGTAGGAATTAGCGGTGCAGACGGACGGCTCGTAGTCACGCAATGCGTTCATGCATAGGCGAGGTGATTGATGTGCGTGCGGCTACGTTCGCCCAGACAAAGCTGTTGGCCTGAGAAGGCTGGCTTTGCTCGCTAGTCTAGACGTCATCGTTACTTCACTCATGTACGACATTGTGGAACCCTAGACTCCATCCTGTCTGCGATCTGGTCGTAGTAGATCCTGTTTGCGATCTGGCCGCGATCGGCGGATGGGGGTTGAGGGGTTTGGGCGGCGGATGCAGGGCTCATGGTTATTTCCTCGACCGCGACGTGTCATGCCGTGGTCACAACATCACCACAGTCTGTCAATGTCGGCCTCGCAGAGATGCTTCGCAGAATTCATGAAACTATAGATTCATCTGTTTATGCCGTTTGTTTTTGCAAGCATTGAGGCATTGCTGGCACCTGTAGCTGGTAGCAGCCGGGTACCGTCGCCGCGCCGAGGCGCTCAGGACCCACCAGTACTGAAACTCGCGATTCATAAGATTACAACGCGTCATGTACCAAGTTATGATGCCTTCTTCTAGCCAACGCATCGTGTGATTTCGATGCCGTCCTGTGCTCGTCAGTAAATGCGCGTGAGAGACGGCCGGCGCTCCAACTCACAGGTACGCCCGTTGGCTCGTAGCTGTTTACCAGCTTGCTCTCGTACTTGAGATTCGGGTTGCCTTTGCTCTCGCTGAACTTGGCCTTGCCGTATCTCTTCTCGTACATCTTGACGTTGGTCTCAGCAATGCCGCTGAGGTTTGTCTGACCGCCCTCTCCAGCCTCCTTGACCTTCTCCTCAACGCTCGACCTGACATACTTCAAGTACGGCGGATTTCCGGGCTTGATGACATTGTCTGCTGCCAGCACGGAGCCTTTTGTGACCAGGCCAAGCTCCTCGCAGAGCTTCAGGTCTGTTGTGTAGGCAGGCTTGTAGTGGTCCAGGAACATGAGATCGACTTGCTTCAGTTGGCCCGATGCTGCCAGCCGCG